GCAGATTTCATGGCCACTGGGCTCATCCCCCCTGTTTTGGCCTCTTCGGTTCCTCTGCCCGCCTGGTTCTCCCCTCCTGTTTTTGCCTATTCAGTTCTCTACCTGCCCGGTTCCTTCCCCCTGGCGCTGGTTGTTCATTGGTTGTGTCCTGCTGGCCCTTTGGATGCTGCTCCATTCTGCTTCCTTTTGGCCTCTTTTTTTCTGCCTCCCCTTTGTTGATTGGATACCATGGGTGGCTTATTGGGCTGTTTGGCTCCCTCTCCTCTCCTATATATAGTGGCTGATTTGAGGCTTTGAAAAATATGTTTTGTGAGAGAATTGGAATGTAAAAACATAAGGTGATGTGAAACCATTAGGAATGGCATTATAGATTATAAAGAAATTGATTTAAGCTTTGCAATATAAACTAATGTTTCACAAGATTAGATGCTTAGACTTAATGATGTGAAACCGGGAGTTGTTTTCTTAGAGATTAATTAAAGTATTGTTGGAGCAATGATAAAATAGTTTAAAGCTTCTCAAAATTTAAAACTCAAGATAGATCTTAGAAGTCAACAATGCTTAGGCAATACGTTACAACTAAATTTGCAAGTTCTTTAAAATAACAACTTCAACAAAAGTAATGAAATGATTAATCAACTAGAATCCGGCGGTTAACAAAGCGATCGTTTCACCTTGAGGCTCAACTTCACTCTTCTACGTCTAAGGTTGTCGGAGGAAGAAGAACCATACAAGAAACGAGATCACTCCAAGGTAGACGGCGCCGACGATCCGTAGTGATGGCGAGAGAAGCGGCGGCGGCGAAGGTGGGGAAGCGGGTGGATGTCCGTCGATGGTCCAATCGTAGTCTTGGAATTGATCCGTCTATAGCGTCCACGACAGTGGGAAGGATGCGGTTCAGATAATCTTCAACAGTGTCGTCGGAGCCAAATCCGACGTCGAAGAATGGTGAACGGGTGATGTGAATGTCTCCGTAGATATCGAAAACCAATCCGCTATCAATCTCGAGATCCGCCATACATGTTCATGGGAAATCTTGACGTCGAAATAGTGAAAGGTGGAGGAACTGTCACCTCGGAGAGGTGCGGCGAAGAGGAAGGGAGGGAGAAGGAGCTCGGGTGGGAGGAAGGAGGGAGGTGCAGGAAATCTGAGAGAAATTCAGATTTTGGACAATTAGAGGAATAATTAATTTGAAAATTCAAATCAAGCCTAAGAGGGAGAGAGGGGCGGCAAAGGGGAGAGATTTGGGGCCGAATTAGTGGAGATTGGGAATTAATTTGGGAGAGAAGGAATCCATGGAGAGGCCGGCCAAACTAGAGGAGAGAGGGGGGTTTCGGTTTTGAGGAGGTGGGGCCCACTTGATTATTCAATTGATTTGAATAAATCTGAAATAATTTTAGATTTTAAGCATAAAGAAGGTTTCCTAAATTACATGTAAGCATTAGGCAACTTTAGATTTTCAAAATTAGAATTAAAATCCCATTATGAAGATGGCCTAAAATTGAGGAGTTATATTTGGAAGGTAATCAATGCCTCTTGGGGATTTGAATTTCAAATTCAAAAACCAAGGGGAAAGCGCCGGCGGGTAGATAGGGTTAGAGGGGAAGAGGGGGGGAACGGAGGCCAACGGCTTGGACGGGGCTTAGGGTGGTCGGCCGGCGGCTTGGGCAGCCCAGGTGGTCGGCGGCAAGAGGCTGATGGGGAAGGGGGAAAGTAGGGCTAGAAAATCAAGGGGAAAATTCGGAAGACTTGGATGAAACTTCAAACCTCATGCACCTCCTTCACTAGAACTCACAAAGAGATCTACAAGCTCCACCTTTTCAAGAACTAATAAAGAGATCTTGAAGGATGACACGAACTAACTAAGAGATCAATAGAGGAAAATTTCATTCATTCAAAACTAAAACTCAAATACAATCACTAAGCCTATATATAGGCCATCCGAAAATAAAAAGCATAAAGACGACATTGCCCTTGGGCTACAACAAGCAATAACCCCCTCATAGGGGTACAAATGGAAAAACATGAAATATAAATGATATGAATAAAATAAAACATCAAAAATAAAGACTTTGAATCATGGTCGTCACTCGACGACCCCTCCGATGGTAAGTGTGCCGAAATCTACTATGGATGTCCTCATCACTTAACGCCATCAATAATGTTAAGGCAATCAATTATAAGATAGAATAACAATCACTTGAGAATGATTTCAATCATTAAGATAAACTTAAGTATTGTAAACAAGAGATCCCACACTTAACAAATAGAGAAGTCGCCTTGAGTTTCCCTCACTCAAGCTCGTCTAATAGGGTTAGCGGAAAAGAATCTTAGCAAACCAAGCGATGCCACCAATATTGAGAAGACACCTATGGTAGTAGCCCAACGAAAGTTCGCCAAAGAGGGAGAAGACGTGGGTGGGTATCAAATGTTCCGCCGACTTCTGGATGGTAGATGTTCTTCAATTGATGACGCCAACGTGAATGAGAAGTGATTGATGTAATCTTCTACGGAGTTATCCACTTATGGATTGAGGTTGAAGAAGGATGAATATCCACTAAACTTTGACTGTCGTAGAGGAATCCAAAATCCCGATCCGGATCGGCCATGTACTAGTCAAGGGGTTGTCGATGGAGGGAAGCCTTCCTCTTTGTTGGAGTGTAGTCATGAGGCAAAAAGGTTTCCAAGAGGTGGGAATGAAGAAGGGGCGGCAAAAGGAAGAGGGGCTTGCTTTTGGTGGAGTTAGGGTTTGGGTTTGGAGAGGGAAAGTAATACAAAATCTGAAACTAGTTTCATATTTTAGTAATATAGAAAAATGGAATTAAGAATTTGAAATTTGAAAATCAAATTCAAGTGGATGGAGATTAATTAGGAGAGAGGAAGGAGATCCCATGGAGGGGTCGGCGGCATGCATGGGGTTGGGAGGGATTTGAATCTTCAATTTGAAATTCAAAATAATTCCAATAAGGGTGGCTTGATTTGGGGGGCAGCCAATGGGGGTTTAATGGAGATTTAATAAGGGTCTGGGTGGCAAATATTGGATAGAGAATGGGCTAGAGAGGGGGCCGGCCACATGAGGGGAAATTTGATGTGTTTGCATTTAATATGTGGGCCCGGAAAGGATTTAATTAAGGATTGCCATTAAATCTGAAATTGATTTCAGATTTTAATGGGTTTAGGAGGTTTCCTAATATACGTTATTAATAGGGAAAGTTTTAGAATTCAAATTTGAATTTGAATCTACAAGAAGCAACTTTCCAAATTAATGACAACGCAATTAAGGAAAGTAATTATGGACGATTTTGAAATTTGAAATTCAAAATCCTTGAGTGGTGGGTTGATGGTCGGCAGCTTGTAGAGCTTGGGGAGGCTGGTGGTGAGGGGTTGGGTGGAGTTGGTGGTGGATGGGTGAGGGGAGGCTGGCGACTCAAGGGTGAGGTGTTGGGTGGGGTTCAGTTTTTGGGAGGAGGGAAGGGTATTTTGGAGGGTTTGGAAGGCTGGCGGGTAGGGGCTAGGAGGGGAGATGAAAGTAGAACGGAATTAGAAAAGAAAGGAATGGAGCAGCGAACCTTGGAATCCACCGAAGGTTGACGGGTATTTCTCTCACCCACCTAGGGTCTCTCCTCTCATGAACTCACTTAGAGATCAAGCAAAAAAAACTAAATTTTATTTCAATATTCATTATCTCCTCTCATACAAGAAGAGGACCGTATATATAGGCCTCCAAACAAGTACAAAAGAAAGACAAGAATGCCCTCGAGGCTACAACTCAAACACAAACATATAAAGGGTACAATCGTCATAACTAATAAAAGATACACAAATACAAAACAAAAATAAAGTCTTCTGATCAAGGCCGTCGATCAGCGCTGCTTCCAATGATAGACATTCTGAAATCTCCTACTGATGTCCTCATCATAAGGATTTTTAGATAGCTTCCGAGCTATGTCCCCCTTTCTTTTCTGATATATTTGACTTCGTGTCTGGCTTCTTACCTACTTCTTCTCTCCGCAAGTGTCCACCTCACTTGTATCTTTCTTCTCAATCAAGGAAAAGCTTTTTTAGGTGTTTTTATGTTCTAAAATTATGAGTTGTAAGCTTTTTATTATTAGGGGTTGTGTCTTATTTCTTATTTTATGTTTGTCATGTGAGTCGTATGTGTTGACCTTCTAATATAAAAGTTGTGTTGTGTCATTATAAGGTGTTTTAACCTTTTTCTTTCAAGTTGTAAGATGTTTTGTTAATTTTGAAAGGAAGACGCTTGTTTGTTTGCAATCCTAGATTTTCCAAATTTTTTATTGCATCACAATCGCACATTAGAGAAGGCTTAAACAAGTAGGAAGCATCGGCAACAAGTATCTTAAGATGAGTACATCCAATAACTACGAAGAAAGTATATCAGGTAGAAACTGTTTAGTGTTCGCATGCATGAATGGGAATGAATTGTTGCCGGTTGAGGCCAAATATTAAGGTTTATATTGCTACGTAAAGAAATAATAGACGTAAGCTAACATTCTTAGTTTTTACTAAGAAAAAACAAAAAATAAACTAGAACATTAACCGAAGGATTTAACAGGAATAAAGAACAAAGAAGAAAATATACAGTTTGACCATGAGGATTTTGGGAAAGGCTACACCTATAAAACAACAACAACATCAAATCTTTATCTCACTATACGAGGTCAGCTACATGAATTCTTTTTTCTTAATTGTAACATATTAAGAGTCAAATTCTCATTTAAATTTAATTTAAAAAAGATCATTTTTAATACTTTCTAACCAAATCTTTTTAAGTATACCTCTATATTTCTCATAGGCTGAGTCTAATACATCTACTATCCTAACAGGGTCATCGAAAGGCCGAAGGTTTATATGACCAAACCATCTAATGTGACTCTCTCTAAACTTATATGCCACTAGAGCTACTCCAACCTTTTCATGAATACACTTGTTTCGCACTTTGTCTCTAAGCATAAAACCACTCATCCACTTGAACATTCTCATCTCTGCAACACTTAATTTTATGCTTCTCTTTTAATGGTCAACATTCTGCATCACAAAAAATTGCAGCACTCACCACCATCTTATGTAAAAAAATTCCTTAAATTTGAAGGGTACTTTTCTATCATATAACAAAATCAATGCATTCCTCTGCTTCAACCATCCAACTTGAATTCTACTAATAATATCCTCATCTATTTCACCATTATTTTAAACAATAGACCCGAGACATCTAAAACATACACTCTTTTTAATGATTTGATCACCCAATATCACAATCCCACCACTAGATCTATAATACTACTAAAATTACACTCCATGGATTCAGTTTTTGATCACCCAATGCATTCCTCCACTTCAACCATCCAACTTGAATTCCACTAATAATATCCCCATCTATTTCACCATTGCTTTGAACAATAGATTTGAGATATCTAAAACATGCACTCTTTTAAATGACTTGACACTCTTTTAAATGACTTGATCACCCAATATCACAATCCCACCACTAGACCTAGTACTACTAAAATTACACTCCATGTATTCAGTTTTAGATCTACTAATAAAAAATCTTTAGACTCTAAAGTTGACCTCCATAAATCAAATTTTCAACTCCCTCTCTAGTCTTTACCAACCAGAAGAATAACATCAACAAAAAGCATACACCAAGATACAACCTCTTCCAAATATCTAGTAAGAACATTCATGACTAAAGCTAAAAGATATGGGCTTAAAGCTAATCCTTGATAAGTATAAAAAAGAAATAAAATTTTACAACTAAAACACAGAGTAAGTGCATAAGCATATAATAGAATTATAGAACTTTCATCACTTGAGAAGGAGCCTAGCTTATTGTATTTGGCATCAAACAATAGGCAAGCGGTGAAAATCTCTCAGAAAAGAAAAGTATTTTTTTGTATAAAATAATTTTTAGAATATGACTTAAAAAGACACTCGGGCAAAAAACAAAAGCAAAAGAAAACTTAGTGGGTAAGTTTGAAAGATGCAAAATTAGATTATATAACCCTACAAGAAAACAAGGAGACTTTTTGTGGCTTCCGACTAGAGAAATTATAGACTACTTGACAAGGAACTAGTTTATTTTCTTCGACATTCAAACAGGCAAATCTCTCAAAAAAGAAATGCACATTTCTATATGAAATAATATTTAATATAAGTGGCATCAGATTAAAAAAAAACATTCAGTAGAAATAAAATAGCAAAAAGAGAAATTAGCCGTAAAGAATTTATGGTGTAAAAACATAGGCCATATCGCCCTTTAAAGTAAACATACACATTTTCATGACATCCAACAAGAGAAACTTCGGAATTTTTTCACACAGTTTTTTTTTCTGAAAATGCAAAGGAAATTCAGCATTTTTTCTGCATTGGGTTCACCTTTTTTATCAAAATGTAATTACATTTAATTGTTCAAAGATTAGTAAATGCAGAAGGATTCAGTGTACTTTTTTTTTTGCCACAAGTATTTTAGGGTTCATTTTCAAGAAACAGGTTAAAAGATCAAGCATGCATAGCTTGACTTTTAAACACAATAAATAACCTTTAAAGTAGCAGGACTACATAGTATAGTGCATTTAAGCAGGTTTATCCATGACATAAGTAACACTACTGCAGAGTGTTGCAGAAATAATAGCCCAGAATAATGGTGAAAATGCCACAAACACAGTCAAAGATTCGCTGCATTGCTTGGCAAATCATAGGCTAGTCACTTGTGGATCCATTTATAGGCAACAAAGGTATATCAACGATGATCTTTTACCGTACCTTGCGTGTTCTTGCTGCATCTTTTTCTCTCATGTTCCTTTCCAACTGCAAACGTTCTTCTTGATCGCAGATCATAGCTTCCTCTGACTTAAGAACAATAATAAAGTTAATCATGCTTGTTCAATGATGGGTAAAAAATTCTTAGATTAAAAACTAAACATAATAAAGGACAAAATGATGAAAATAAAAAATACATAAAACAAATAATATTAGAGGGCATACGCCACCCATAAGCCTTAATGAGAAATATTCATGATTGAACCAAACTTGTTCAGCAGTGATAGAAATATTTTAAAAAAATAAAGAATGGTCCTTTAACATTTATCCTATATAACTTATAAAACAAATAAAAAATAGCCGGTCCAAGCCTGAGTGAGAAATTGGTAGTGGGCCTTGAGTAGACACCGGTAATTTAAAATAAATACAAAAACAAGATAAGGCCCCAAAACACTTATCCCATGAACTCGCAAAATAAATCAAAAATAGCAATTAAACGTTCAAATCCTAATGCCACGGTGAGAATCGGTGAAAGCTAACATTATGTTTAAGTTGAAAAGAAGCAAATGAAGAACATAAGGAGCAAAGAATTAGACGAAAGAAATAATACATGATGAATAAAAAATAAAAATACTCTCAAGTCACAACAATATTATCATCACAATCACTATTATCCTTATCATAGATATTTCAGGTCGGCTTTATGAATCTTCCATTCCGTTCATTCTTTAAGTGTTAAATGAGGTATTAATAAAAAAGATTTTATAAGTAAATTTTCAATTGGAATGATAAAATTATCATTTATATAATGTACTCAACCAAAACAATAAAAAACAATTTAAATTATTTCTTCTCTGTATATTCTAATAAAATATCAGGAAAATTGTATATTACATGGCAATATTCTAGAAAACTTAAAAAAAGATTTAGCATATATATATATAATAATATTAATAAAAATTATTTTTGAATACTATAAAAACACAAATTAGTTGGTATTTTAACGTTATGCTTATTTTTCATGAATATATAAATATTAAAAAACATCTAAAAATAAAATCATAAATTGATCAGAAGTTAAAACAATCAAAATTATTAAAATTTCATCTAAAATTATCAATATAATTATTTTAACTCTTAATTACATGCTAAATTTTGAAATATAAATAAGGAGTAATTTAGTATCTAATATTTTCATGCATTCCGATAATATTTAAATATAATTTTAATTAAATTTTAATCAGCATGGCTAAAAATCAAACGAATTGATTTTGATATCTGACTAAATTACATCTTTATAATTTATAATAAATTTTAAATAACATGCTTATAATGTATGCTTTAAAATAAAAAAAAAATTCTTACATTTAATACCAAAAATTCTCAAAAAAATAAATTACTCAATCTTAAACTTTTTCTTTATTTTTAAAGAAATAAGTATAAATAAAAATTAAAGAAATTTTGACTTTATGTGCCACTTAACAAGTGTAATTGGAAAAATATATCATATGTTTGTATTCCTAGAAGAATATTTCTGAAAATTCATTTCAGACCAAATCATCCCCTCTTGTATATGAAAATTGCTAATTGAAGTTCGTCCACAAATGAAATTGGCTCAAATTTGAACCAAGTTCAAACATTCCTTCACACGCACTAGTTCAATGATGCCCTTCCCAACGAACCCATTGCATGTCAACGGTCCTTACATATAGTCCACAAAGAATCTCCACTTCAAACATACAACTAATCCCGTAGTCACCTTCCCCAGTAAGCTTAAATCATGACATCATCTTCTAACAAATCACTCACAGGTTGTTTTCCGCTATGTCTGATCCAACGAGCTCCATCGCAACAATCGAGCAATCGAACCTAGGTTCAACCCATGTTCAGCGCAACGTTCGAAACAAGGGTTTGATTTAAGATTTAAATTCAAATTAACTCAAACCATTTTCTCTTGTAACACGCTTCAACAAGCAATCCATGAATGCAAGACTGGATAACTTCGCTTGAAATGAACAAGCATATTTCTTTAAGAAAACAAGTAGCGAGCATATTTCTCTAATTATCTATATTATGATGCATGCAAAGTCAAATCTCCCAATATTAGAGGGTAAAGCAAAAAAAAAATAGAAGTAAAAAAATCACAATAATTGAAAGTAATATAATTTATTTTTATTAATTTATCAATAAGTTTTTTATTGTTGTATAATATAAGCTTATAATTTAGAATTTTATCAATCCAATTTATTTTTTAATCAAATAAATTTAAATTTTATTTACTATTGAAAGATGGTGGTGAAAGATGGTGGTGAGACCCGCAATGCTTTATGGTGCACAATGTTGGCCATCAAAAGAGAAGCATAATACTAAGTTAAGTGTTGCAAATATGAGGATGCGCAAGTGGATGAGTGGATTTATCCTTAGAGACGGGATACGAAATGAGCATATACATGAAAAGGTTGGAGTAGCTCCAGTGGAAGATAAGATTAGAGAGAGTCATTTTAGATGATTTGGTCACATAAAACGACAGCCTACCGATGATCCGGTTAGGAAAGTAGAGGTATTAGATTTGACTTATAATAAGAAAGGTAGAGGTAGACCTAAAAAGACTTGGTTAGAAAATATTAGAAATGATCTTTCTTTATTAGATTTAAACGAGAATTTGACTTTTAATAGGATACAATGGAGAAAAAGAACTAATATAGCTGACCTAACGTAGGAAGACAAAGGCTTGATATTGTTGTTGGTGGTGGTGTACTATTTAAAGGACACTTTTTCAAGGTAGACTTAAATTTAATTGTTTACCAAGCGCAAATGTTAGAAAAATTTTACGATGCCAACATAGATACAAAAGTTCAACATATTTTGCAAAAAAAATGCATGTAAAAATTGAAGATAATAAATATGAAGTCATTTTAACTAAGAGATGAAAAACAAAAATTAATTGATTAAGTTTAGAGGTGTTCATAAAAAGTGTGTTGTCAAACACCTTTCCTAGGAGAATCAAGACTCGTGCACAATTAGTTCAATTGCTCTCTAGCAATTCTAGAGGAACAATCCATCACGCCACCAATTTTGACATTATAGCCCACACCAAGGATCAAGGCACTTCAATTCAAATGCCAATTCTAATTACGCAAGAAAACATATATGAAAAAAAAGGAAAACAATACTCAAAGATCACTCTCTAAAAAAATTATTAATAGATCAAACTAAGTGAGGGAGGAGAATAATATAAAAATTGCATCGTTCAACCAGCAATGATGTAACCTCCTTCCGACATTAAATTTTAAAAAAAAAGTGGCAATTAAAGGAATATGAAGTGATTAACTTGCCAAATGTCTCCAATAAAGCTTTAAAAGGTGGGGAAAATAGAGGAATAAAACATCAAAAAATCAATCAAATTAATAAACAATGAGAATTAAAAAATAAATAATAATAAATTAATAAAAAATTAGCAAAAATATAAATTATATTAAACAACAAACCAGCTAAGACTTCAAAAGTTAGTAATTTATTAATATAATTTTATTTAAGGAAGGTGAAAAGGGTATTTTTAATTATATTATAAAAACTAAATTTACTTATGAATAATATAAAAATATAAATAATTTAACATTTAAAAACTATTGTTTTCCTTGGGTGGATTTTATTTGAGTGAAATATCAAACTTCATTTTAATAGTAGCATAGTTCAAAATGCCTGAATGACGTGATTTAGGGTGTAGTGTTATGCGCATTTTTAATAAAGCCACATATTATGATATATTTGAATTTGAATGTTTAACGGAGAAATCGATGATAATCTCAAAATCAAATCATGAAAGGGAAGATCAAATCAACCATCCCACCGTCAGCACTTCAAAGAAGTTAATAAGAAAAAGCTACTTTTGCAATTTGGGGCACATACAATGAAGAGATCAAGAGAGTGAAATGGTTGATTCTAAATCAATCAATTTCATAATAGAGATTGTCCATGGTCGGGATTCTCGGGTCATATTGTTCAAATAAAGTGATCATTGCTAGTACGAGTACATAGTGTAAATAAATCATCAATTGAGCATCATACAGGAAAGATGAACTGTTTGATTAAAATTAATATAGAGTATTTTTTTTTTACTTGTTGCATGAGATGATTTACAATTTTAAATTCCGGATTAGGAAAATTCTATTGGAATGCTGACTAAACTTTTTATCTTGAGCTGACCCCAACCCAAACCAGCTAAATCAATTCAAATTGAGCCGACCAAGTCTCTGTTAACTCATTCAACTCAATCCTTACGCAATCTTAGCCTTCAAGATCTTTTCCAAATTCATTAAAGTAGATCCAACCCATTTTAATTTAACCCAAGTTGGCTTATACAATCCAAACGAATCAATTCGAGTGATTTTGAGCACAAATTAGTCAAACCAATAAAGCTTATTCTAAAATTAGTTGTACACTAGTTTTTCCCAATATGTACACTAGTTTTTTCCCAATAGACTACAACGTCTTCTCAAGTCGAGCTAGGCTCAATCAAAGAACTAGTGGTGCAAGAGAGACAACCAAATGCATGTGGTTCTCACTCCTTTTTTTCAATATCATTTGGCCATCTTAGGAACTTTAGGCGATTAAAGGCAATGCAAGTGCAATAGCCGTCAACCCTAACAAATCGAGGGTAGGACAGATTCAGCCATGGATAGTCGCAAGCTGAGTAAAATCAATCATGGTTTTTCATTAGAGGATCGGTGACCTATAGTTTCCTGAAGTTTCCCTAGAGCTCCAGCATACAAACCCAAGATTCTGCCACTGCACTACTGCAATGGTCTTAACCCCAAGATGAGCAAGGTCTTATGAATTTGTAACTGTCTAGACAGCTAGTGAATCTAGGAATCTTCAAGCATTGAGTTTTTCTCAGTTGCCTTCCCATCTACTAGATGAAGATACTATAAATGGTTTAATACAGAACAGTAGCTTCAGTGAGGCATTCTATTTGAAACCAAGAAAGCCTAGGTCTATTAGCCACTGAATTGTGTGTGTGTGTGGAGAACCCATCCAACCCCACGACCAATTAGATAACCCTTTGATAATGTCTCTCAACCCAAAGCCTT